TTCTTTAGAAAGTCAGCTGCCACATGACCCACAAGTGGACCACAACTGGCACAACTTCGATCCACTGTGGGACGCTGCCAACAGAACATCACTGTGTGACAGTGCTGAAGGGGGCGCAGTTACCAACATGTTCTCATTCACCACATTACCATGTGCATACACTACTACTCATTCAAGTTTTTAAAATTGTGCTTCACAGAGGGCTGAGACAGCAACTTTGCCATTTACCTTTTCTCCCCCCCAACAGAAACAAAAATACATTGTAATAAGTATAAAAAGCTTAATTAGTGCTCAAATCTACTGCTTGTGCAAGGCACCTTCTGTGAAAGCCAAGAGAAACTGTGTGTAACTTAAATATTAGAATACAACAAGACATACCAAAATGCAACAGATAATTGAAACAAAAAAAAGTGTCTGACTATACTATTAACTGAAATATTCAATTTAAATTCAATTACATGCATCAAGTACTGCTTGAGTTGTGAATTTTGTAAAGAAAATAGGCCTGTGTATAAAGTAGTCAAAGAACACGCTTTTAAAAAGCGTTTTCAGTGAAAGCAATATTGTTCATGTTCGAAAAGAATTGTTCTGAGCTTCTGTTGCAGACTTGACATTGATAAAGGAGCCTCAGATATGGGCATGTGCCCATCTTCTTTCAGTCACTTGAATTAGGATTTGACGTCTCAAAAAAAAAAAAAAATCTTTTCTTTAATGAATCATTCTGAACTTTATTTCATGCCTGGCATAAACAGAGAAAGCCATCTTTCTTGACATTATTACGTTCAGCTATGTAGGTAGCTTATTCACCAGTAACAGAAAATTGCATTCAAAGTAAATGAGGATGATATAGATTTGAAATACAGTCAAAACACACAACTTATTAAGCAGAGATACATAGGATAGCTGAATAAGGTTACTTTGCTGTGCAAGATTCTTGCTGAGATATGCTGACTTTATCATGAAATCAACACATTCTACATAGATAGGACAGTTCTGTGATATCCTTCAACACGAATTATGTTGATCATGGTTATCTGATATCAGCATTAAAGCACAGCTGATAATTACTAAAAAAAAAATTGTCCTGCAACTGGACAGAGTATTTTTTAAAAAATCGTTCTTGGGATGCCTGTATTACTGGCACACAGTCAGATTCTTAGCTCAATCTTAAGTGCCCCTGAAAAGGTGGGAGTATGGACTTTATTGTACTAGTGTAGTCCATGTGATGTTTGTTTTTAGGGAGGGAGTTCTACCATTTTGACAATGCAATGATGAAGAAACAGCAATGTAGTTCATAGCTAGGATGGTTTGAGGGCTTGAAGGGGAATTGACAGATGCTGGTGTTCCATCCACCTGTTCTGTCATCCTTCTGGATGGGAAGGATTGCAGATTTGGAAGGTGCTGAGAAGTGCTGCAATGCATCTTATGGATGGCATACACTGCTAAATTGTTTAGAATTTTAATCAGAATCCATTGTGAATGCCACATGCAGTTCTGGCCACCGGATTTTAGGAAGAATATATTGGCCTTGGAGACGGAGAAATGCAGATTCACCAGAATTATACTAGGTGTTAAAGTTAAATTACAACAATACATGCAAAGACTTGGCATTTTTGTTTTGAGTAAAGAAGGTTTAAGTGTAATTAGATTAAAATATTTAAATTATTTCTAAGCTATTACTGATTCTATATTATTCATATGAAGGGGAGAAGAAACCAATAACTTTCCATCCCCCAAGGCGGCTCTGGCTTCTGTTGTATAAAGCACAAGTTTGGAAGGAATTAACATTATATTGAGCGCTGCCCATTCTGTTGACATCCAAGTCTGCGGGTCAAGACAACAATTTCCACAGTTGCCATCACAGGGAGCAGATGTAATCTGTATGTTATTATATGCTAGTAACTATACCCATTCAGCCATACAGTTGTCTACATAGTTTATTACATGATAGCAATCTTGTTAACAGAGAACAGTGCTTCACCTCTAAAAACTCTACACGGTATAGCTTCTACTACTGATCATTAGACAGGCTTGCACAAGGTATAGACACAAAGTAGAACTGGTGGCAGCAAACTACAAACAATTCTAACTCTGAACCACATACTGGTAGAGGTGCCAGATTCAATGAGATGCCCCGTCATAGCTTTCATGGCAGTACCACAGGGCAACTATAGCTTGTAAGACTGAGATAGGCTCTTAGGATAGGGAGCAAAGGGGCATATCAAATGTGATTGCAGTAATAAAGCAAGAGTTACCTGCTTCTAAGTTTATTAAACACAAAAAAAACCTACAAAGCTAATCATAAACAACAAATTCAGACTGTAATTTAGTTTTGTTCATTTAACAAATATAACCTTTCTATTTACACGAAACAAAACAAAAAAGCCTACTTATATCTTATTTTGCTAGTAGAGCAGCTGGATTACCATGATACCAGACTGAAATTGTTGGGATTTATTCTTGTTGCCTTTGGGATTTATTGATTAAGCAGCTGTTTATTCAGGATCACGATTTTTCTTCTACTGGAGAAGAGTCTCATTTCCAGTTCTCCTTAGAAAACTGGATTTATCTGCACCATAATACATCAATGTTTTTAAAGATTGAATCTGGATAAAGAAAAGCCATCCCCCTTTTCACCACTCCACTCTAGGCAACCATTGTTTCTATTAGTACATTTATTGGTTAAAAAAATCCTACACATTCGGCCTCAAAACACTGGATCAACAGTCAAGTTGCATTGTGTTTACAGAATGACTGGTATACTATAGTCTTCTTTGAAAGGAGATTGTCATTTTACATTTTAGAAGTTGCACTTTATTAACCAGAAAATATTCTAGGCATATTTGGATTACTGTCTGTTAGGGAGGTCAATAATGGCTGGGTTCTGGAAGAGATAGAAATACAACATTCTTGGATAGAAAATGAAAGAATGTTTAGGTTTTGCTGAGGATCAGTGATATTTAAAAAAAGAGTTACATAAGCTTAAGGAGGGAAAAAAACAAACAGGATCTTGAGGCTATGAAATGTACCACTCTAGTTAGCAAAGCTTATGGATAGGTTGGGCAGTTAATTACAGGCAACGGAGATAAAAGAATATGGAACAGGGCAAGAGAGACGTCTATATTATAATTTTATTGTGTGTCTGAAAGACGCCAAATAGCACCCAGCTGCAAGTCTGCTTTTTTGTCCTTTGAATTTTCAGGTTAACTTTTTCCCATCTGCAAGTACATTTTCTCTCTATTTCAAAGTGTGGTTCCTTTCCTTTCCTACCATGGGTATGTAGGACACTCAATAGATCAATAGCCCAAGTTAATATGAAGGACAAGCTGATGCTTTTGCCAATGAATGAACGAAGGACTTGGAAGCCCTATAAAAATGGCAGACAGTTCCAGGGCCCATTCTCAGTATTTCCAATTTCCAAGGATGCCTATTAAGGTTGATTGCTGTTTGAGTTGTGAATTGATCTGTAGTCTCCGCGTACAATTTAAGTTTCTTATGCTGTTTTTAAAAAAAAAATGGAAAAGACAGGGAGAATCTTGTGCCTATCCTCATTACATTGCAAATCACTCCCTTGTCTCCCTGTCTATCTGTTTGACTTACTTCAGTACTGGTTCTTTACTGCTAAATATCAATACAACCCATGACTTTTCATTTTCAATTACTCCTTTGTCTCTCAGGCTTCATTAAACAGTTGACCCCTTCTTGGAATTGGAAATAGTACAGTCATTGATAAATCTCATTTCTTTGAATAATCTAAACCACTATGCATTCTGCTGGAAATGATTTTGTTAATCATTACTAGTACTGCACAGGCCAGACAACACTTTGCAACTTTTTGAAGTACTGACGACATTAAACAGGAATAATACTGGACAAATACATAGTGAATAAAATGAACGCGGCCTCTGAAGAAAAACATGGACAGAAATAGTCCTGTTCGTAATCCCAATGAACGAACGTTACACAAAAACAAATAAAGGGAGCTACATCAAAATGCTGACATTGATTTAATTCCCAACAATTCCAATTCCTCTACTTGTTTTGATAATCCAGTTCCAAATAATATTTCTCATGAAATTAAAATGTTACATAGTTCTCAGTTTGGAGCTACAAAACCGTGGACTTGAACCGGCTTTTAGAATTTTAGATCCCCAAGATGTATTCTTGCAGCCAAACATTTGAAGTTCCTGTGGTAAAACTGGCTTCATAACGCAAGTAGCGTGACTGAAACTGCGGCCTGATGTTTCAAAGGCTTAGTCAGACCAACTCAGTTGCCTTGTTTGAATTCTGTTCCCCAGCTCAAATTTATTTCTTCACTGCTTTTTCGCAACATGACAAAAAAAGTACAAAAAAACACATTTTTTGTAAACGGATGGCTTGTAAAACAAAGACTGCTCTCTTCATTAGCACACTTTACATTCAAGAATCTTCTTCCTACCACAGCATGTGTTTTCGTTAGCACAAAGTGCGATATCTTGGTTTCAAATGTTACCTCATGGGAGTGAGCATTGAAACTATAAATGTGCCTTGATGCCAACATTCAGATTAAATCTGAAAGTCACTTTTGAAGAACAGTGCAACAAGACAAAGAGATCCCTGTTTAGATACATTTTTGTACCATAAAACCATTAATAATAGCGTCACTGTTTCTTTGAAGCCTAGGAATTCAAGATTTGTCCAAAAGAATCGCATCCCAGTGAATTTGCAAGTGAGGATCACATGTTAGTGAATATTTCTGGACAGACTTCAATACAACACAGAACAAAAGCTGAAGATAGGTCAGAAATTACAGATTCATTTTAGAAATATCACAGGAAATTACTAAGGAAAAGCATTAAAAGCCTTTGAATGGCACATTCATTTTCTAACAGAGGCGGCAGTGTTTTCAGAGCAACCAAGCATTTGCTTGGTTTGTGCTGTGCCCGTTAGCTCATCACTGAAATTCTTTCCCCGATGAAGTCAGCAACGTGTGCTGTTCAAACAGCTGGGGGCAGGGTTTTGAGTGCTGGGGGATCTGGGTCACACGTGTAACTTCAAAAGGATCACTGCATGAACTCCACCAATAACTCAGAGGTGAATAACTGCACTCGGACATTCCAACACTCTCAAAAAGGTAATTATTTTCATGTGACAGTTTCAATGTCCCCACCAGATCAATATATCATGCTGCTTTCTTTTCAACAAATTGTTAGTATGAGAAGAGGAGGGGGGAATGGTGCATTCTGGTTGGAAAACATTTAGTGATGAATAGGAATCTTGTACTGAATGAATTATAGGCTAATTTACATTGATTTAAAAACCATCAAGAAGGGTAATTTATTTAAGTATTCTTCCAAATACAGATGCCTAGATTTTCCTACTCAGTGCAATCACCAGAGGGAAGCGTGGTGGGGTTTGATTTGCACCTAAGGGATGGACAAAGTACTGACTTGCCAAATTTGTTGTGATCCGTTATGTATTATTAGCAGCTGTATTCCTGCTGGTGTTTGAGAATTTGCTGCTGAGGTAATAGAACTGTGTAATAGCTGTGGCTGCAGGATTCCAATTTTGACTCCAGTTTAAAAGGGGAAGGCTGTAGAGGCACAAAGAGCATATTCAGCTCCTTGAGCAGGTTCTTACAGTCAACCAGTTCACTTGCAGTGCTCGTTATGCTAAAGTCACTAATTAATTTTAATTAAAATTTGTGCACTGCGGGTAGTAATTTTGATTGTCTCCTGGTAATGTGCCCAGTGTCACTATTCAAACGTTTTACCACAATTTAAATTGTCCAGTATTGCTGAGTATCCTCTGCACATTTAACCACGTTTTACTGAGGCAATAGAGACAAGAAATAATTGCTGGGTGAGGCAGTACTTTTTTAAAAAAAAAAATTCACACATGAAATGAGAGAGTCACTGGCTGGCCAACATTTATTGCTTGGCCCTAGTTGCCCGAGAAGGCGGTGGTGAGCTGCCTTCTTGAACTGCTGCAGTCTACATACTGTAAGTAGACTCACATGTCGTTAGAGACAGAATTGTAGGATTTTGACCCAATGACAGTGAAGAAACACTGATGTTTTTCAAATCAGGATCGTGGATGGCTTGTAGGAGAACTTGTACCTGGGGGAAGGTGATGGCCGAGTGGTATTATCACCAGACTGTTAATCCAGAAACTCAGCTAATGTTCTGGGAACTGAGTTCAAATCCCACCCCAGCAGAATTCAATTTTAAAAAAGCATGGAACTAAAAATCTCCTGATGACGATGAAACCATTGTCAGTTGTTGGAAAAACCCATCTGGCTCACTAATGTCCTTTAGGCAAAGAAAATCTGCCATCCTCATTTGGCCTGGGCTGCATGTGACTCCAAAACCATAGCAATGCGATTGATTCTCAACTGCCCTCGAAATGCCTAGCAAGCCACTCAGTTCTATCAATTGCTACATCACGAGGTTCATTTAAATATACCCACTGTATTTGGTTAGTCATTTCTGGCACCTGAATGCAAGGGCTGGGACCACCTGCTCAGTTCTTTTAGTGCCACATATAGCTTCAAGGTTATTTTAAGAAATGCCTTTATGTTAGCAGGCCACCAACCCCTTGCTGTTCTGCAATTTCCTCCAAGCATCAATATGATAGCCTGATGGAATCAACAGGCTGCTTTTAGATGTCCAACTGGCATTCGTATAATCCTTCCAGCACAAAGACCCAAAGAAGAGTTTTGCAGAGAGACAGTGACATAATGGTAATGTCACTAGTCCAGTAATCCAGAGCCCCAGCCTAATGACCTTTGGACATGTTTGAATCCTACCACAGTGAAAATGTGAACACAATGAACAAAATCTAGAATAGAAAGCTAGCCTAACGGTGACACCGTGTCAATGGTCGTAAAATATCTTATTCACTAATACCCTTTAGGGAAGGAAATCTGTTCTTACATGCTTTGGCTTACACGTGATTGTGGGCCTATAGCAAAGTAGTTGTTTGGTTCTCTAGGCCATTCCAATCACCAAGGCAACTAGGAAAAGGTAATAAATGGTGGCCCAGCCTACATCCCATGAATAAATAAATACACCACCTCCTTTGTATCATTGCCCACCTCAGTGCATCTGTTAATTACTCATCGTGCATGCTTCTGTCACTTCTGACCTGTCTCCCAATTCCTTCCCAGCTGACAATCTCAATTTCTGCCCTCCATAAATAGCAGCTCACCCAAATAAGTTACCATACCCTTTTCTTTATCAAGTCCTATACACTCACCATCCCTGTCCTAATGGTCCAAAAAAAAAAGCAACTCCCTCCCTATATTCCATTTCAAATTCTTGTTTTTGTGATTAAATTACTACATGGTCTCATCTCTCCATATCTCTGTAACCTTTGACTGAAATTTATGTCTTTAACTCACTAATTCTAAATTGCAACTTCCTTGTAACTTGAGAAAAGAACTATTATGCTAATTATTCCTATTTCCTACAAAAGACATTTTCATGGCCCTTCCGAGCAACTTGTCAATTTGCTGACTGTGAGTAGTAATTGTCGTCAGCTTCATGTTGCAAATTTTACCCAACATTTACATAAACTCTCTATACTAGTGGATCCAATCTTCTGTGCATTTCCACACACCTAAATAATGATTAGCAAGCCTCCAATTATCCATGCCTCACGTTTGTCTCATATGTTTAACAAACTTAAATTTCTTTTTTAAAAATCATTCATTGAATGACGGCATTGCTGGCTAGGCCAGTATTTGTTGCCTATCCCTAATTGCCCAGAGGGTAGTTTAAGTGTCAACCATGTTGCTGTGGGTCTGGAATCTCATGTAGGCCAATCAAGTAAGGATGACAGTTTCCTTCCCTAAAGGGCATTAATGAACCAGGTAGGTTTCTCTGACAAATCTATGATAGACTCATGGTCATTATTAGACTCTTGATTCCAGATTTTTATTGAATTAAAATTCCACCATCTGCCAAGGCAGGATTTGAAGCAAGGTTCCCAAGACATTACCTGGGTCTTTGGGCTAGAAGGTCCAGGTTCAAGACTAAGTCCCACATGTCACAATATGTCTGAAAAGGTTGATTAAAAATACCTTTAAAGGGGAACAAATCTGGACGATCCAAAAAGAGTTCTAAATGGGTGTAGCTCCAAAGATGAATTTGGCTATAATTACCTCCAACTGGCATAAATTGCCAGTCTCATGGTAAACATATTACTTGTGAGAAATATGAATAGTTATTGTCACAGAAGCTAAATTGTGTCCCTAACTCATTATCTGGGAAATCTCATTGTAAAGACAGGAAATGTTAGTTCACCAATATTGACATGCCTCACCAAAGCCAGCGCAAAATGTACCCCAGAGTGTTTATATTTAATACACAGCAGGTAAGGAAGCTTGAGAGTTACCAAACTTGAGCTGGACCAATAAATCTGGTGGATACACTATGATTGAGCAGGAGTTCTCAGTGGCTGGATAGGGTTTCCAGTGAAATATTTGCCAGTTTGGATGTAGACTAGGATACAGAAAATTATAAAAAGGTTTAAAATATATCTAATATTGAAATCATTTACTAAAGAGAAAGAGTTTAATTTTCATTGCATCCTGCAGTTTGAATCTTTAATGAATCATCAGCCAAAGTAACATTAGCATCTCAGTGATGGTGAAGCTAGCGGCACAAACGACAACCAGAAGTGCCCCATCATTTGTGGGACTTCCAAGGGTGCTGTGGGACGAGAGAGAGAGATATTGCTGCATATTTCATGCAAATATGATGATGGATTCTAATGATACAATGGAAAGTGGGAATGGTCGATAAGGGTCCAAAGGGGGTCAGAGGACAGAATGAACACCCCTTTGGATGTTATGTAGTGGTAACTCAGCTGGTGCAGCACCTTCATCAAGGTGGTGTATTTGCTGTCACCAGAGCTGTGGTAGACAATACTGCTGCTGAATGTACAGATTCTGCAGCTTGGTCTGGTCGGGAGCAGGGGGAAGAGAAGAGACCCTTCACAATAGCCTGAATGGTGTGCACCACACCATCCTGTCATGCTGTGCACAACTGGGGCAGGCAATGTGGTGATGTCATAAATGCTGAGGAGAAAAGGGGAATGCAAGCAGTCAACTGCGTGGAAGGTCGAGGGCATCGTGTTGGAGAAAGCTCTCCTCCTGCTTGGTATAGCTTAGCTGCATTGGATGCTATAATGCAGACAGGGCCTAAGTGACACCCACTTTCAGTAGATGCTGGTACAGAAGACCATCATGGACTGTCAAGGTAAAAATGCCACCATTTGGTTTGCATTGTTGGGACGAACTGTGGTCTCTATTCATTTTGATGTTCCTTTTGCCAGATGGCAAGAAAAGATCATGTTTGTACTTGTCCAAATGTTTGTATGTATATTGTTCTTCCCTACTGGACAATGCCAAGATGCAGATGACCACTGGGAATTGGGGAACAAAAAAAAAAAAAAAAAAAAAACGAGTAGAGGAGACTCAGATAGGATCTTCAGAGGGATGTATTTAAGGACAGGTATTGTGTGGTCTAGTAGTTAAACAGTGATAAAAGGGCAAGAGAATGGCGTCGTACGTGAGAGAGTGTCAGTCACATTGGCTATGTGCCATGGGCAGTATGTGTGTTACTGTATCATTACGTTGGTGGTGAGTAGCAATGCTGGAGTACCAGTGCCTGTCTAGGTCCACAACAGCCTCTCAAAGATAGTGGGGACACAAAGGATGGTGATCTTTCTGTAGATATCCAGTGAATGGTGAGTTCTTCTGGAATGGCACATGCCAAGATGGGCTAGAATTGGAAGTGAGGGATACCATGGGGGCAGAGTAGGTAGAAAATGAGGTGCATTTGGTAAGGTACATGCAAAATCTTGCTAAGATGCAGTGAGAATATGGCCAAAAAAACTCATTGCACTCGCACTTAGCCAAAAAAAGTATAATCCAGCCCCAGGTGAATCATACCAAAGTATTAGTTCCGTTTCTCTAATCAACATTAATTTATGCATCTAGAAACAAAAAAATTGAAAGATTATATTTTGGATTGGTGATACTAGATATTTCTCCTCCCTCTAAGTTTCCAATTTGTATAAACATTTGCGAATTACATCTGTAGTGTCCAATGCAATTAGCAGGATAAC